ATTGCCTCTGACTTCACCTCCGACTTCGACTGCGACTACTCATTCCGAACTGGAACCAGAAAAACCACAAGATTTTTCTTCCACGGCCCAAGACGGTAATTTTGATCTCTGTTTGCACAGTTTCCAAGCTGTATGGCTTATCTAGATGCTTCGGTTTTTACTCGTTGTACGCTTTACACGGAAAACAATTTAAGCCAAAAGGGTTCTGGGAATAAAGAAATTCAAGGCAATTAAAAAAGCAACGCTCCCATTGGGCAGTTGCAGACGCCAGAGACAGACAAAGTCGCAGAGTCTCATAATTAGCTGGGAGAAAGATCGTTTAGTTTTGGGACAGAGAATGCGACTGGGACGGCGCTGGCGACGAGGCCCCTTTGCCGGAGGTGCTGCCCGGCACTGAGTAGTGATGTGTCTAATTGGATAACACGAATTTCATTTAATTCGTTCGCAGCATCTAACAGACCACCAAAAACCCGATTTGTTGTTTTTTGTCTCGTCTGCTTTTTTATGATAGTAAAAGCCAATGAACTTTTCTCTCACCAAAACTATTGTGTTTGTTTAACTATTGGCTGCCGCCTGTTTCTACGGGAATTCTGTAACTGCTGCTTCTTCATCATATTGCATGTGAATTTATTTCAAATGATCATACTTGTTTTCGTGGTAGGTTTATAGTTGTTTGAATTCGAATTTTTTAGTCGGAGCGGGTCAACATACATAATGAAGCCATAAGCCTCCATTGCGGCCATAAACCCATTTGAATATTAATTCTGTTAATTAACTTATTCAAATAGGAGCATCGTTAAATATGAAAGAAACTCTTTTATTGCTTTCCCTTCATTCTTTTTTTTTAATTTTTTCTTCTTCTTTTTGGGAACGCCTTTTTTTCAGACTACAACAGAAAACCCGCGATTGAAAGGTTTCATTGTTGTTGACTAATAATTACAACTTTTTAAGCGCAATAAAATAGTAAGGCATGTATGTGCACATACACACACATACACATCTAATAAGGATCTTCATTTTATAAAAGTTGACAGTTTATATTTGCCAGATAGAATTCTGTAAGTAAACAACTAACGTGTTTATAACATGGCTGCTAAAAAAAATGTCAGTAGATCGGTTCACTTTTCAAACTAATGCTTCGCCTTAATTTTCGGTTTGAAAACTTAATTTTCCAGTCCACCAAACCCTGTCCCAATTCTAATATCTCTGGGCAAGACTATACTGCCTGGGCAATTCTGTATGTTAGCAGCTTAAACAAGTCAGAAAAAGTCTTCTTCATTATTGGGATAGCATCTTAAATAGTTTATTCTTATTCATTTTGCGGCAGCATTCATATTTGCTGTATGTATGGATTTGCTTATGAATGTAAGTGAAGTAAGCAGTTGGGCGGTTGGAACTACAAATAGAGTTGACTTTGACCCCAAACACGGCTCAAGGCAATGCACACGGCAATAACAACAACAACAACAACAACAACAACAGCGACAACATCATTGGGAAGTGGAAGTTGACGTTGAAGTGTGAGCCAACTATTGCACAATGCAAATGCGAAACGAGGAAACAAATTTTACGACGTGTTTGACGGCTGTCTGTTTGTCTGTCCCTCTGTCTTGCTGTCTGTATGTTTGCCTAGGTCGTTGCTCACTTCCGCCCTCCAGGCCGTCCAGACACCATGCACCCCGTGCTCTGCGCCCTGGTTGGCTGTCGCGGCAGTAGCAACTCCGTCTGGTCCGAATGCATTATTACCTGCCGGGTGTCAAACACAAACAAGACGTTTGCGCCAGCCATAAACTCGTAAGATGACCTCTCTGGACAGGCGCAAGGACGGAAACATTGCTGCCACGTTGTTGGTGTCTTAACCCTTAAGTGTGCGGCAAAAATTAACGTCAAGCGGCGCCAGCAATATATCGCACTGGTCTACTCCCAATATTACTGCCAGTATTCAACATTCTCTCTCTCTCTCTCTTTTCAGCCCTGCGTTACGTTAATTGTGGCAGCAACATTTAACGAGATCACACTTTTCCGTCAACGGTAGCAGCGTCAACGGGAGTCAATCACAGCAGTGGCGTCCAGCCAAACCCATATTGTTGCGCCGATAGCGGCGAGTGTTTCCCCCTCCAGCATCAGCTCCCAACCACCAGGTAAGCACTCGCCCCATTCCATCATAAGAACTGTAAGTGCGATAATAGTAACATAGAAGTAAGTACAAGTAAGATCCACTATAGTCCAGAAATGATGAGAGTCAGAATATGCACGCCTTGGGCTATATTGAAATCCCTTCTAAATGACCCGTTTCGTTAAAGCTGTATATATCCTGGAATGTTCAGATTCTAATAAGCAGCGTTAAGATTAGATCGCTATAAAATAAAAATGTCAAAGGCATGCTCTGACATGTTGTATTCAAAATTGGAAGGATCTTAAATAGAAATACATCTGTAAGGGTATTAAGTCTTCTACTATCCTCGACTTATATACATTATTTGTGTGTGTGTGTCTGCCTGTGTGTGCGTGTGCTTATGGGAAAATTGTATCCTATCATTTTCAACATTTCCCCGCCCTTACAAGTATTAGAGCCGCTTTCTTCCAATAGAAATTGTCGTAAAATACTCATAATTGTCTAGAGTTAAATTCGGCAGTTGTCGTAGGGGACGGGTCGGGTCGGGATGAAGCGAAACGAGCCGTGCAGGAACCCGTAGATATTGCTTCTTATGCGAGGGTAAGTGGCAAAGGCATGGCAATTGTCTCAATTTGTCTGCTGTCATAAATTACTGTGTATATGTATATATTTATTTAGCTCATTTTGATTAATTAGCGCCTAGAAAGGGGTTGTTTTACTACTGTGGTATCTTGCGTGTGTACAATATAAAGTTCGAATCGAAGTCGCCTTAAATGTTTGTCGTATGTTTGTTTTTTGTTGGCATTGCTTTTGTTGTAGGACCGCCAAAAAAAACATCGCAAGCCAACAAAAACAATGCCATGGGGGACACCCCAGTCCATTCCAATTGAAATCTCGGCCATAGATGGCGCTGCTGTGCGGCAGCGTTAAATATATATATTTAAATCAGCCCCAAACAGCTAGAAATACTTTGTTTTTGCTGTGGCACACACTAGAAAGAGTAGAAGCTAAAGAGCGAGAGAGAGACAAGATACAGAGGGAGATAGAGATATGAAAAGAGCAAACAAAGCCAGAGATGTACATGTACAGTGTATGTGTGTGCCTGTATGCTTTTGTGCTGGGATGCCGACGTCCTCTGGACAGTACACCTGCTAAAGACCCAACTGATTATAATCGATTTCGATTTTTCCTTCATGATCTCAGTAAAATAAATAAAACCAACAATACTGAAAAATCATTTATTTTGAAGTTGTTTTTCAAGTTGGCGGCCAAGCTCTCTTAAGGTCTTGCATGGGGACACACGTACGTCTGTACATGTGCACATATACAAGCGTGCGCATATTCATGTTCACACACATACCGTGCGTGTGCATAACGCGCGCCGCAAAGAGAGCGACTGACAACACACCACCACCATACACGTACGCTGCTTGGCTCCGACGCTCACAGTCTTGAGCGTGCGCATGCGCGAGGCTCTCTTGGGCACACGGACACAAGGCGCCGCGCTGTCAGGCACACGTATCGAATGCCTTTTGTTCACATCTTGACTCTGACTGACTCTTGCCAACGTCCGCCGTCCGCCGTCCGTCGTCTGTCGTTTGTTTTGTGAGAGTGAGAGTCGACACCAAGACTCCACCGCTTGGGCCTCTGCTGCTGTTGCTGCCTCTGCCTCTGCTGGTTGTCGCCGTTTTCGCTGACGTTGTCAGTGTAGATTTGTGCTTCGCTCTGTACGGTTGAAGGCGTGCGGGCGTTTCAAAGGCAACGGCAACAACAATTGCGACCAGAGTATCCAAGTAGCCACTTCTACATCGGGAACTTTGACTTAGACACATTTGTTTCTCGCTTTGAAACACTGCTTAAAGCGTTTTAGCGGTGCGCTTCAAAAAATTCGTGCAATAAGGAATCTTTAACACTACAATAATACGAATAATAAAATTAAAATAATGTGCTATTATATATACAGTTTTTTCACTGTTGCGAGCGCCGAGTTTAATTGTTTGTTTTGATCGTAAAATCAAATTTTATGACCAGCAACATAAAAAACAACAACAACAACAACAACAAAAAAAGAAACAAATAAAAATTCAACCACACAACTTATACTCACTCTCACGCACTAAAAATTTCGCGCGCCATTTGTGCCGGCCTTAAGCAACTTATAAAAAACAATGCAATACTAACAAGTTTGCAGAGTGAACAAAACGAGGCCTATTGTAAAAGAAACTTGCGAAGCAGTGATAAGAAGTGAAGAAAAATCTTGAACATATATATATATATAAAAAGACGAATCAGATATAAAATAATATGTTGTTTGTTTTTTACGAAAAAAATAAAATAAAAACAAACTTTGTCGAATTAACCAACTAAAAAGAAGCCCAATTTGAAAACATTTGTGCGAGTTCTGAACACCATAGTCACCCTGTGCTCGTATCTCTCTGACTTGCTTTCGATCAAAACGCTCGCCTAACCAACGGCAACTGTGGGTGGTATTTATGCAGTTCGCGCTCTCTTCACCCGCCCAGTGACGCTCTTCACTCTGCGGCTCTCCTTCACACGTAGCGCACTCACTTAGCTTTGAGTGTTGCGTGCGTGCGTGTGTGCGTGCGTGTGCGTGAGTACACCAACGACTGCTGTAGTCGTAAAAAACGGTTTTCATATGACTGCAAATAAAATCAAACCAAAACGCAGCAATCAGGCTTAATTATCGTCAAATAATTGATTTCAATTAAACTTATATGCGCTGAAATTAATAAAATATATTTGCGAAAAAATAAGAAATCAACTAAGAAATAAAGGAATAATTGTTCGGTGGTCCTGGGCCGTGTCCCGCTTGGTGTGTTCGGTGTGTTATCAGTGCCTTTTGTTCCCGCCGACTGACTGAACCGCATTCAAAATAACCGTAAATATTCCACCCCTTCCCCAAACCCCAACCATCCCGCTGGCGTGCGCTCTTTACGACCCCCACGATGTCTCGGCAGTCGGGTCGCACGCCGCTGCCGGGGCTTGGTGGGGGCCACATCATACACATCCACATCCGCACCCCCACCCCACCTCGACGACTGGCGCCTCGGCGGTCGCGTTGCACCACCAGCAACAGCAGCAGCAGCAGCAGCAACAACAACAGCTTCAGCAACAGCAATTACAACAGTCCGCGCAGCATCTGCAGCAACTGCATCACCATCCGCACCACCACCACCACCTGCCTCAGACCCAGCCTCTGCATCATCACCTGCAGCACACGGTCGTGTCGTCCGCCTCGGTTGGATTGTCCACGCCAACCTCTGTACTCCAGCAGCAGCAGCAGACGACACCTACAACACATTCCACACCCACGCATGCAGTTATGTATGAGGATCCCCCACCCGTGCCAATTGTGCCCGTGCAGCAGCAGCAACAGCCGCCTCTTCAGCATCTGCCCCCGCCACAGCAGCAACAGCAACAACAACAGATTACAACCACACCCGTTGGCAGTGCCCTTAGTCCCGCCCAGACGCCGACTGGCCCCACCGCACAGCAAACCCAGCATCTCACATCACCTCATCATCAGCAACAACAACAACAACAACAACAACAGCAACAGCAACAGCAGCAGCAGCAGCAACAACAGACGCCTAATAGCGTCTCTAGTGGCGCCTCCTCAAGTCTCCAACAGCAACAGCAACAACAACAACAACAAAACTCGGTGGTGGCGTCAGCCCAAAGTCAAATTGTTGCGCCAACAACGGCGAGTGTTTCTCCCTCCAGTGTCAGTTCTCAGCAAGCAGGTGAGCAGTCGAAAAGTTCACGTCTATCGTTTCGAGTTGCCTATCGATTGTGTTACCTTATGCACTATCATCCACTCTAACGAAATCCAAAGCTCCCATATACTATATAAGCTAGGAACTTGCGTATAACTTACAGTCTTATAAGACTTTCTTAAATATATGATCCAATAAGAATGCTGTTGCAAATGAATGACTTCTATAAGCTTCTTTCTTTAATTAAAAACTATTTTATTATTATTATTATTTGTTTTTCCATATTTTAAGCATTTTTATTATTGTTTTTTATTATTATTATTTTTAATATTAATATTATTATATGTAAAATATCAACCCAAACTTGTATTTCCTGAACTCACTGAAAATCAGTAAATTCTATATAAATGTATGTAACAGGCAGATGGAAGCATCTTCGATCCCAATAAGTATCTATGTTCTTTATCAGGACGAAAATCCGAGTTGATCTACCCTTACCCGTGCATTCATCCGTGTGCATGACTGTTCACCTGGGCATAACTAGAGATTAAGACTCTATATTTTAAATACTCATATACCATGCACAGAACGAAATTGCAGTTTTTGCATATGTCCTTACCTTTTATTCAAAATATTGATAAATATATCATTAGGTTATTTTGAACCATCGGTTCAGGGAATCTGCTAGTCGATAACTCAGAGCTTCATACCACTGAAAACAAGTATAGTAATAGGTTTTTTTTCAAACAGACAGTCGAAAACTTCTCCGACCCCATAAGTACATATATTCTTGAGTAGCATCGTACGCCGAGTTGAGCCATGTCAAGCCATGTCAGTCAGCCTCGGGAATTATAAGATTTTGGTACTTCGACTTTTGAGCATTAGCCAGATCAAATCAACCATAAATTGACCCGCTTCCATGAAAGAAAGATATCCAGTTTTTCGATCATATCTCGGAGCTTATAAGAGATGTTGTATCCAAAGTTATAAATGGAGTTTCTGGTGTAGTATACACAGATATTTCCCCCTTGGAATGAAGAAGCTCAGTCGTTAAGTGTGTGTGAGTGTGTTAGTGTGTACTTGTGTGTTTTTGAGTATATTGGAATTGGAATGTTTGAATGTTTGCATCGGTACCTCGGCGCTCAGTTCGAGGTATCTCTCATAGTTGGGCGCGCCCAACTAGGGTAATCTTAGATTTTAATATTATTAAAATTTAATTTTCAGAATTCTACAGAGCTAGTATATTAGATTGCCTATGTCAGCAGTCTATTACTTTAGCCGGTATGTTTTATTGTTTACTAAGCTGCTGTGCATCTATGGTTACATAGTAGCGCTGGGCTTATGATTAGTACTCTAACGAGAAGTAAGGAGTTATAACTTGTTAGTAAGCTTATTTAAATGATGCTGTAGGATTATTGGTAATTCTACTCTGTATTTGTACAGAAAATGTTTAGGAGCGTAATAAGGAACGAATACGTTCGTTAAGTTGTTTCATATGACAGCTCGTTAATAACGCGAGTATTTTTCTGTTGTTTCTTCTAGACATGTCCATCTCATTAGCGCCAATACATATACCCGCGATCAGGCCCGGCTTCGAAACGGACTCTGGGACGCCCGTTAAACGGCACGCGCATCCCTGGCCCTACGACAACGAGTTCAACCAGTATCATGCCTCGCCATACTATCTCGATCGGGATCGCAAGCCCATGTTTTACGGTTACCCAGAGACCCAGTTTCAGGTGAGTACACGAGGCCGACAACTACGTTCTATCCGGCTCGAATCGCGCGCCAGTCTCACCAGACTCGACAGCCGTCTCGTAAACAACTCAATGTCAACTTTACCTTTGCCTTTTTTCCCCGTTGCCACATTCGCCCACGTTCGACAAGCAGCCTGCATATTGGCCCAACTACCGTGATCAGCCGACCTCCGCAGCAGCGGCGGCCTACATGAGCGCCACTGACGAGCGCCATGCATCAGTCAGCGCGGCAGCAGCGGCGCGCCAGTCCGTGGAAGGCACCTCTCAGTCCAGCTACGAGACACCCACCTACTCCTCCCCAGGTGGGCTTCGCGCCTTCCCCGAGGCCTACTCGAGCACAGGTAAGTCGCAGGCATTTCCAATTGCCTACAGATCTCTGTCGTTATCGCTGTTCGAATAGTTGTTGTTATTGTTGTTGATTTTGTTGCCTCTGCCCGCTGCGGAAAAGGCAAAATGCAAATTGCGACACTGTCAAGTTTACCGTTTAATTAGCGTATTGCAAAATGCCTCATAAATTTATTTGCGACATTCAGCCGAGGTTGTGCTCCTGTTATTGGGTGTGCCAATATATAATAACAATCACTGCCTACCCTAAGTGAGGGGGTCACTCCAAAAGAACCCTCTTGGGTTGAAATAACCAGCACATAAAATTCGAAATTATAATATATTTTTTGTTTTGGTGGCAACTATTAAACTACATATAAGCTTTGGTTATTTTCCTGTAATCTATAATATTTTTTCAATTTGAACAAATTAATAACTGACACAAATATAGAAATAAATCGTATAGCTGTGAACACACTTTGTTGAGTTTCTTAATAAATGGTTAATCTGGTTTCATTTGACTCTAGGGACGTCTGGTGGTCTTTCGGTTGGTGCAGTGGGTCCTTGTACGCCGACAAATGCGATGCACGAGTGGACCGGCCAGGTGTCGGTGCGAAAAAAGCGCAAGCCGTACTCAAAGTTCCAGACACTGGAGCTAGAGAAGGAGTTTCTCTTCAATGCGTACGTGTCCAAACAGAAACGCTGGGAGTTAGCTCGCAATCTGCAGTTGACAGAGCGTCAGGTATGTGGAGAGTGTACTTCAGTTGAAATAATCTAACCAAGCTAAATGTTCATTTGCAACTTTGTTACTTGTGTTTAGGTTAAGATTTGGTTTCAAAACCGTCGCATGAAGAACAAGAAGAACTCGCAGCGACAGGCCACACAGCAGAATAATAACAACAACTCCAGCAGCAATCACAACCATGCCCAGGCGGCACAGCAGCACCACAACAACCATCACTTAAACTTGGGCCTGAGCATGGGTCACCATGCCACAAAAATGCACCAGTGACCTTTGGACAACAGCAACGCTGGCGCTATGGGCTTTGCCACCTACTAGCATTTAGCCAATCCCAATCCGAATCCCCATCCACAGCCGGACCACAATCTTAATACAAATACAAACATCAATCCAATTAAAAATGAGATGATATTGGATTTTCCGTGTTAATTGAACGATGAGTCCAAGCAGTACATATATACACACACATGTATACATGTGTATCCCCAACAAACCATGGGGTTGTACTGACTGATCCGAAAATGTTCTTGAAGGCGAAGAAGGTGGTGGAGGAGGTTGAAGTGGATGAAGAGGAGGCAGGCTGCCCAGTTCAAGAGTTGGTGTCGCTGTTTTCAAAGTTAAAATCTTTGGCAGACCAGGCCAAGGGGAGTTGAAAATGTATGTTTAATGAATTACAATTAATTAATAAGTCCGTTCTTCAAATATCTATAAACAAGCAAAACAAATGTAAATTACCCCGTCTATTGAAGCTGGGTGCGGTAGTTGAATGCGATAGACAGTTAGATGCATAAAGCATATAGTAAACAAAATCGGAAATATATATATTTGTTTATGTATTTCTCTTAACTCTCTCATTAATGAACGCGCATAATTATTAATTTTCAACAATAAATATTATATGCATATATACTATCCATATTAATTATGAATACAGCAACAATTCGAGTAGTAGATTCTAAATGTAAGTGCAGGTTAAATTGAAGAACAAGCACATTGTAACCCCAGAAAAATGTTCTTAATGTGGAACTAATGAATTGTTTAACAATTTTCACAGACAAACTAGTAGCCACAAAGCATGTACACAAACACACTCACACACACATGCAGAAAAACAGAAATATACATTTGCATAGAAACACACACACACACACACATACTCACCCAAACACAAACACACCGCAATGCAGTTAGACAGCGCCGGAATTATAGCATAAATTTTGTCATTATATTGTTCGTTGTGTCGTGTTCTTAGATAAATATTAAGTTCCTGTATATAAACTAAGACATTGAATCACAAAATGAAAGCACGCGCAAAGTTAGTGAAACCGTCTGTGTTTTGTGAGTTAAATGAAAACTAAATAAAAAATTAAATGAAAAAAAAAAAACATAAAAAAAAAACAAGTAAAAATCTATAAACATATGAAACTAGCAATTTAAAATACTGATGTCTAATTCATTTTATTACGAGTATAAATTGTAAATCAAAAGTTTTTTGATGTGTGTGCAAATTTACTTCGTAGTTATTGGCGCTTTTGATCTGAACAAACAAAATAGTGCACGTAAAGCTAAAGTTAAAACTAAACCTTAAACCCTAATATAAACCTAAACAAAAAGAAAGAAAAACTAAAGAAGAAATACATTTTAATAATACTTGTAAGAAATATAAGTGGCATCAAAAGAAGTTGAGCAACAATTAATTTACAATACATACCTTAAAGCTATTTACAGTACTTATATATAGTACATATATATATATATATATATATATATAAATAAGGCACATATGCAGACATATATTTTATGTGTATCGACTCAGCTTAATCCTGATATTACATCTAAGTTCAGTTATGTTGTGTAATTATCGAATTTTTGTTAATGTTTTGCTTCATACATTATATATTGTATCATATACATACATACATATATGTATAATATCGTATGCCTATACATACATACTTACTTATTAATGAAATTATTTCGCCAATTGCTTTATCCTAGTTCTTGTATTATTATTCTTTCACACCTTTTTCATAAGTTGTAGTCTAAAGTCGGTTATGTTTATGCTTATGTTCGATTATAGTTTGTTTAGTAAATTTTTACATAGCATTAGCAATTCTCTTTTTTAAAAAGTTAATTATTGTGAATAAAATATAAAAGTGCAAAAAAATAAATGCAAAAATATACACAATTTCAAATACCGATTAGTATTCTATGTACTTTTGTTTCCTCTTAACTGAATTCAAGTTTCACATGATTTTTGTCTCAATACACGTTGTTGTCTATTCAAATTATTTTTTTTTTTTATCTTGCTTTTGTTTTAGTCATTTCTTAGATTCGATTTTGTTTGGTAAGTACCGTCGGCCAGTATTAAAGGCTCCTCCGCAGCGATTTTCAGAACTCAATGCGATTCAAGGACGACCTCTCAGTATCGAATTTATTCATAAGCCTCCATAGAAGTTACTCGTACAAAGTATAAATTAACTTAGCATTTATCTGCATAAAAGCAGATCCATTCATCAATAACACTTAACAAACTAAAAAACTGATAACTAAAACTTTTCGTTTTTCTCAAATTCTATCAGTTCAATTAAGATCAATAATTTGTTATTCTTTCTTTATGAGATTTTCTTAAGTTTGCTTCTCTTCTGAAACACATTGCAGCGCTTCAATAAATTCAATCTAGATTAAAATAGTCTTGTTTTGAAATATGTCATAAGGTTAAATAAACTATTATGTAACTGTGATGTTTGAAGTTTTATTTGCATCTGGAGTAGTTTAGGACACAACACATATGAGTACTTGTTCCGAAATATAAAATTGACATAAGACACATAACTTAGAAGCACATTTAATATGTATGCCACATTATTACATTATTTACTATTCTGTCACAATACGTAATTCTTATATTATGTTCATAAAGTTAATAGTAACAGATTGGATGTGTTTGACATGCAATCCGCCTATTCGTATATTACATAACCCCCACTAAGGGACGGCTATACCTAAAAGTTATACAAGTCTTTCTACCCAGAACGAATCAAACCTTTTGCCCCCTTGTCTCCGCCGACACAATCCAACCTGGTCGCAAAATTACTTAAATCAATATTGTGCAAACTTAACACATGGGCTTAAAGTTATAATAGATACCAAAGACATCCTTTCATTCGTCCAATAAATCAAAACACATATTTTTAATTTGGATATACACTTTTTCTTCAGGATTGGGTCATATACATCGATGCTATACAAGAACGCATTTTCCATAAATCGGTGAAAAGGGAAAAGGAATCACAGTGCCACCTAGAGTGCGCATCAAGTGTATGTATGAAAGAAAGTATTATTATTATTATTATTTTATTTATACACTATGAAAATATAATGCTAAAATCATAATCAGAGTACACAAGTTTCTAATAGCATCACCGACCGATGGAGCTGTTTTATTTACCAGTCCCACCAGCTGTGCCCCTTTCCTTATTTTTTTAGTGACGCTATTAGAGCCTACTGCTAAGAAGAAGGGTGTAGGTAAAGAAAAAAAGGGTTCTTAAGTAAAATCAAAAATAATTAATTTCAGAAAATGCAATAAATAGGAAAAAATAAAGTAAGAAGTTGTTAATAAAGTAAAGAAATGCATGATAGATACATAGATTTTTGAGTAGATAGGTTATAGAGATAGTAATGGGAAATCACTCAGTGAGCATATCTGTAACGACTACTGTCTCTGTCGGCTTCTACCGGCAAACATAAATTAAAGCATGTATATATTCTTGGCAACAAAATCCGTTCTTGCCATGTCTTTCACTAGGCTCGTCAGTCTCCGTGAACGCGTTTATCTTTACAATAACTACTGACTTGGACTATGGAGTTTCGTTTATTTTAAATCATTGAGTTTATTTTAAATCATCAATGCATTTGTGCTGGGTGCAGGGTATCTCCTTATTGCTAACCTCTCTCCGCTTAACCATTCTTAATGTGCTCTGCGTAGAAAGAATATATTACCCATGAAATACACTAGTACTTTTTAAGCTCTGTATGTACACTTGCTATGTACACTTTTATATCGGTATATATAGTCGTGCACACTAGCAATAAGCTAACGATTATACATTGGGATTGCTTATTACGTATATAGACACAGCGAAAGACAGCAATATTGGTAAATTGTATTACTGATAATCAAATTTACTTTGACCAAACCATTCAATAAAATATACATATATGCATATCATTTTTAAAATGAGGTAGATATATTTAATATCTATTTCTATATATCTATGTCTGTCCATCCGTTTACCGTCGGACTCTCTGCTTGTATGCAAACTAATGTCTCAATATCCTTTCAATATTAAACAAATTTGGGTTGGCTTATTTAATTCCTTGTATAATTGATTCCATACAGACATTTTTTAAGTTAATTTAAAAATATTGATTTTTCGTATACCCTTTACCCATTACAAATAGGTATAAAGGTTTTCAGCAAATATATGTAATAGGCAGTGTTTCGGCATTTTTATCCCCATAATAACATATATATATTCTTGACCTACAAAAGCCTAAAACTTAAATTCGAAGTGGTATATAGCTTCGCATACAACACGCCTAGCTTAAAATATCTTGTCGATATCTCGTCCTATTGCCAAAAGGTCGATATAATCGATTGTCATGTGCATTGTTTGTAGGAACATAATTTATTTCATATTCCAAAGTTCATATGTACGTTGTTATACTAGTTTTTAAAATTCAAAATTTTTGTTTAAGAGTAAGAGTGCTCTGTAGGGAATGCCTTACAAGAAGTCATCCTGTTTCCTGTGCTGCCGGCAGCACGCCGTCGTTAAAAACATTATACACAAAATGTCATACACAACTGGTTACTTTGTACAGTGGGTATTTTTCTTTCTCACACATCCCCACACCGTGGCAAAACTCACATTTAATGAACTCCCAAATAAGGCAAAAATGCATTCAAATTTTAAGTGTCCAGCTCTCATAACAGACGATGATGGCTACATCGGCTCAGCTGGCTGTTCTAATAAAGCCTTATGAGTGTGGTCATTTTTTACAACATTATTGTATCCTTTCTTAGCCGGGATATAAGGAAAAGTGGTCGGGAATGGTCGTCCTGCCCACGACAGAAGAGCAGGTGGCTAATCCATAGTGTGGTAGGGTCGATCATCCGTCTGGGCGCCATCCATTTACGGCCGAAACTGAAAAGCGGCATACCGACGTTGCGCACTAGGATAAAAAAGTTCCTACCGTACTGTTTTCGACAATGCACCACTTATGCTGGCTGGAATAAATTTCCGAGATCCTCTGACTATGGTGGTACGGAGCATCAGCCATCGAATTACAAGGCGGGCGGACACGATGGACGCATGACAGCGAGGCGGAGAGCTACTGCCAATGACAGCTGGACTCGATCCTTGACATACGGTCTTGGATGAGTAAAAGGCACGCTCAAACTGACACTTACGTGACTCAACTACACCCGGGCACGGTTGTTTTAGATCCTATTTGTATAGCAGACGCTGTGCGCTGGCTATATATACGGCTATACGGCTTACTAGATATCTTACTTAGTACGCAAATAAATTGGATTGGTATTAGCACCACAGTTGCAGATATAATCGATTTCTTGCGTTTAGCTGAAACACAGCACAGTCTTTACAAATATAGTTGTGGCTTTCATGCCATCTTCCCCTCGTGAAGAGATACCCATCAGTGGTGCTATGAGATACGGAGAGTAAGTGGGGTAATAGTTGGTGCAAGCCTCAAACTTTTCGGGTTTCAATGCTTTTCTTTACTAACCAAAAAGAAAACAAGTAAGAGGTTCTAGGCGGGAGCTCCCGACTAGGGGATACCCTGAACCCTCTTCTTCCAACATCAAATGCATATATATTATATTTTAGAAGCTACATGTCAAGTTTGGTGACTCTAGCTCTTATTATTTACCAAAATTGCCCAAAAAACAGGATATCGATATCGATTTTTAACGATTGCTTGGAAACGGAGTAAGTTATCGATTATCGGAAACAAACTCGATCTGCGCGGAAACTAAGAGCACCTACATCCAAAATTACAAGTCTATAGCTCTATGTTCTGAGATCCTTGATTTCATACATACGGCCCGCCGGACGGGCAGACGGACGGACAGACAGACGGACATGGCTAGATCGACTCGGCTATTGATGCTGATCAAGAATATATATACTTTATGGGGTCAGAGATGCTTCCTTTTGCCTGTTACATACATTTGGATTTTGCACAAATACAATATACCCTTATACCCATTTTTAATGGGTTCAGGGTTTAATGAATAAAATTGAATATAATAAAATAGCTGTGCTATATGCAGCAGCTGTGCTTCTTCTAGCCTTAGCTTCATATTATAATATGATTTTTCTTTACGAAATTTCACTGGCGTAAATTTGAACGCTCTTATTAGCTGCGATATAATCACAGGCAGGTTTGAATGCCGACCCTTATCGACATGAGGCAAGTTTCGATGAAATAAAGAAATTTAACTTGACCCTTTCGCACACTAGAAGGAGCTAAGTTTCTTATGTATTTTGAGCGTTAATATAGACAGACGGACTGAAGGACCGCCGGACAGCCCGGGAATCGACAAAGCTATACCGACACCATGGACCCCATACAGATTTTGTTCTTGATCAGGAC